AGTTAACTTCAACTCTTGGTTATATTCCAATAATATTTTAAGTTTCTTTACCTTATTGATGGAAGTAATATAACTAGTATTAGACAACATTATTCACAAACAAATTTAATGAAGCACAAATGAACCACAGCAATAGCCTCACTTGAAAATTAAGAAGAGTTTCTTCCTCTACGTTAGAAGGCACATGGGAATTTCATACAGCATTCAATATGGCAATTTATGTATAATGTATTGATGTGGTTAAGTTTTGAATTTGATGATAAATTGAAATTCTAATGCTTTCTTTGTCATCTCACAAGATTATGTTGCACAACTACCTTTGGAGTGTGCTTTAAGTTTTTATTCATTTAGATATTTACATATTAGAATTAAAGTATGAGATCAAAAAGGCATTTCTTTGGGCATCATAAATATCACCATGTGAGATTCCTGGGTGACAACCTGGAATTTCAAAAGGTTAAAAGTTCAAAAGAGGCTGAAATAATTTTTTTAGCTAAAAGGAGCACGAGTATGCAGTGAGGAAATGAAATTCAAGAAGATCATTCTAAAGTGGCAGGGACGTTGAGAGAAATGTATGGGTCTCATGAAAGAATAAATAAGCTGGGAAAATTTAGGGTACATAATTATGAATGTAATTTTAGATCTAATTGCTTTGCAGAGCTGGGTATGTGTACAGGTAATAATGTCTTTCAAGCAGACGAAACTTGAGGGCTCATGTTTTAGAATACTCTCAGGGCTAAAGATACTGCTTTAAGAATTATCTTCCTTAGGAATTTTCTAAAGTTATGGAAATAAATCATCAGGAGAGAGTAGTGAGGATATAAAGACTGATTTTACACATTATGAAGATATTGAATGCCTACTGGAAAACTTTCTTGTCTTTCATTCTGTTTATGAAAAATTTAAGTTGTCAAAAAGTGATTACCAGATATGTGAGTCATTGGGTCAAAAAGTCTAGTACTGAATGTCAACTCATACAGAAATTGTCCTTTCTTATTGTAAGGGATACTATGATGATGTGGGTGGTAGCAATAAGCTTATGTTGGAACTTGAATTTGAGAGCATGGATTAGGATGCCTCAGCCATGATGGATTATTAAAAGTATTCAATCATGAAAGGGGCAGTTTATGTATTAGTATTAAAATACAAGATGAAAGAGCATGCCTTGAAGTATTAAGTAATTTAAAAAATTAAAACAAGTCCTATTTTACGAATAAACCAAATTTTAGCAGCATTGTAAACTTTAGTTAGCACAGTAACAGAGATCAACATAGTGCCTTCTCTAAAGTACTCTATTCTATATGCAGGGAAGGAAAGATAGAATACTTTTTTGATATAATAACAAACATACACTGGGAAAATTAATTGTCTCTGTCATGGTAAGGGCAATAGTGGCCATAGGTATTTTGGGACTAACTTGTCAATTATGATTTACAAGCAATATGTTGATGAGGGACTGAACTGAATTTTGGTGAGCTGTATTTTCTATAACTAAAAAAGTGATTTGTTCATAGTTACTTTTCAGTGTCAATGTACAAGATATCTTTGTTGTTTAGTTTGAATAAAACATTGAAATAAATACAGTTAGTTTACTTACCATGCTTTTCAAAATTATATTTTAAAAACATTAAAAACATACACATGATATGTAAGTCAAACCACAAATGTACTCTTAGAGGAAAAGCACTCTAACAATGTGGCAAGCATGGATTTAGACTAAAACTTCTACTTATATTCATTTCCTGCCTTTGAAAAATAGCCTAATCTCTTAAAATAAACTTCATTTTCAAAGTAGAACTTCTAGGATCTTCTTCAATTATCTCTTAGCATTCTTAGGAAGATCCATGAAATCAAGCATATGAGGTTGTAAAAACTGGAAAATACTACAATAACACCAGGCAAGATGTCAATTGATATGCATAATCTCCTATATGTAACATTATATATATATTTTTTCTCTTACGGATTTTTTCCCATTGAACTAAATATTGTTTTTAGCAAAAGAAGCCTTTTAAGTAAGGTTGATATTATTATTCCTTACAAGTTTCGTCTTGATTCATAAACATTTTATGCCAGGAATAATGCTGCTTTAAAGACAATAAGTGCCTGTTTTTGCCTGGGGGCACTGGAAGCCCTGCAAAAGAGACAGGAGGAATTAAAGGCCCTTAATCATATTTCTCCATTTTTAACTGTTAGTTTTCACACTTCTGAGCCATTTCTCTCCTCTTGCTGGGCTCTACTGAGGCCCATAAATCTTAATTAAAGATGCAATTCTTTTCTTATGAAATCTGAGCTGTGAGAAACCTTTCATGTTTTTTTATTTTTAAGACTAGCTCCGTGTGTCGGCTCATAAAACAAATAAGACTTTTACACTCAAAGGATTTTGAAAGCTGTTATTGGTGTTGTCATGTGAAGGTGGCCCCATAATTATTATTACTGTTATTTTTTATACACAAGCTTCTGATTTGCTGGTACAGTGCACAATGGTAGAAAATAGAACTGCATACCAGGTAGGTCTTGGTTTAGAAAGTGGACGTATGGCTCATAAAACATGAAAGAAATGAGTCCAGGATTTCAGTGGGGAAGAGAGGACTACTGAGTGATTTCCAATGGGGAAGAGTCTCTGAGTGTTACTGATATGGGACCTTTCTGATGGGGTCTCCACCAAGGAACGTTTATCAAAAGGGAATATTTTCCTGACTAGATAATGCCATGTGTATAACTAACAGGGTGTCTGAAGCTGCATGCCTTCCTTCTTTTGTCTTGAAGGATGGATCAGACATCTTAGACCTCTGGTCCCGCTATCTTAATTACAGGTGCCCAAGTAGCTTAACCTAAATAACTGATACCCTGGAACGATCGGCCCTATTCTAATTGATATTGCTTAGGATGAACAATGATTCTGATAAAATTATATAAACATCAAATGAGGTAAGAGGCAGTGGCAGCTTATAGTAGAAGGTAAAACGTTGACCTCATAGAAGTAGAAAGGAGTAGGGATTATCAGAGTCTGGGAAGGAAGTGGGAGACAGAAGAAAAAGGGAAGGGAGATAGAAAGAGAAAAGTTAATGGGAGCATGGGTGCACTTGGGTAAGAGGAATATACTTTTAGGTTCTGTAGCATAGTAGGGTAATTATGGCTTTTAGGTTCTGTAGCATAGTAGGGTAATTATGGCTGACAACAATTTAACATTTCAGAACAGTAAATAAAAAAGATGTTGAATTTTCCTAACATAAGGAAAGAATACATGTCTAAGGAGATAGATCATACTACATTATACGCTTGCATTGAAATGTCACACAGTACACCATAAGTATGTTTAGTGACTCTATGTTACTTAAAAATAAAAATGAATTTTAAAAAGACAAAACATTTTATCCAAAGACTACTGTGACATAGGCCATTAAAACTGCTGGGTTTGCCTGTTTTCTACTAAAACATTTATGATATTCTATCATTCAGAACTTTACATTAAAACTTCTAAGACCAATTCCAGTCTGGCCTCAACCTGTCTTCGACCCACATCTCAATCTGTCACATCCCACATAATCACACCTCTTCTCATTTGTGTGGAGAAGGCATAAGCAATGCTCTCCAAATAAACCGTATTCTTTTGCAGCTCTGTGACTTTGCATGTATTGAGAGATATTGTAGAAAAGGAGTAATTATGTAATGAACTTAGTGTAGCCTGTAAAGTTAGAAGGTTTAATTACCAACTGAGTAACCACTGGCAAATTATTTAGTTTCTCTGAGTCTCTTTTTCCTCATCTGGAAGATGGAGACAATAATTATCTCCTGATAACAATAATTAGCACCTGGTGGTGTTATGAGGATTATGTGAAATGTATGTATACACCTAGCACATTGTCTTCAATAAAACAGGAGCTCCCTAAAGCTGGGCTCTCTCTTCTTTTTTTTGCTTAATGTAGAGGTGTTTGCCCTCTTTATGTTTCCTCATAGCTTCTAAGATACTATCAAGTTATATCTCATTTATGGAGCCTTTGATAAGATCTCATGGGAGCATTGGGGCATATTGTATCAAGATGAATGATTTCACAGTGAATGAGAAGGTGCTTGTGAAGAAGGAAGGACCCAGGATGAACAGGCCAGGTCAAACATTTTTGTTTCTTTGTGGCCAAAGCATGTTTTTCTGCAAGAGGGACATTTTGACTCCTTACGTGATTCTGTCTCCTGAGGCAGCTCTCAAGTTTCTTTGAAGCTGTGCTTGGCTTCACCTTTCTCTCCCACCCTCCCTGCACTGCCCGCTCTCTCAAATCTGCACATATCATCTAGGGCTTTCTCCAGTGTTCTTGTTGGCCAGCTGACAAATATTTAGAATCTGGTTCGCACCCTGACAAATGACAGATGTCATTAGTCCTTTCATCACATTAAAGTTTCTGCATCATTCTACCTCTTATTGAAATCTATGTGGTTTTGTTCTTCCACACTCTTTGGCCCCAAGTAACAAGGCAAATTTGTATTATTAACTCACAGCATTGGAAAGGTGGATCTTACATGTCTTTATTCTCTGTGTTACACAATTTAGGAAGAGGAGGCTCAAAGAGATGGAAAATCAGGCTGATAAATGCTCTGACCCATGTCTCCTATGTCTTGTATTGTAGAACATTGAAATCCCCAGAAAACTCACAATATTGAGAATTAGAGGCCATATAATGATCTGGAAATGTGTAGAGTGGCACTTCAAACCAAAAGATTGCTTTTCTATACTAATCTTTGAAATCAAGCTGACCAGAGGCATAACCTAACCCTGAGGCATAGAAATGATGACTAACTTGCCAAAGATTACTAAGCAAGCTGGAACCATTTCAAACTTTGGCATATCTGAGAGGGGATAAGGGTACAAAGAGCTCAACTATGATTTTATAGAATGGATTTCTAGAAGTCACTTTTGTGTTTGATTTCATTTCAATAAAACTTATAATGCTTGTCTGTAATATTTTCCCCTTATTTTAAAACTACATATGTTGCTTTACTTACAGGGAGGGTGGAGAATCAGACAAGACAGTGACTTTGATAGTGCTTTGAGATGAAGTGCTATACCTATGTAAGTTATTACTATTACTTTATTACAACATAAATACTGAACAGATGAGGAAAACCTAAGGAATGTAAAAATTTGTATATTGTTATTTAAATTTGTTTGGATACTATCTAAAACTTATAAGGTCTCTTACAATGTATTCTAGTCCATAAAAACCCAGCACTATTAACTATTAACTATTCTTCAGCTGTGACTGCAAATAATATCACTAAATCTCAAAGCCATATTTCTTTTCATTCAAAATAATCTTACCTCTTGATAAATTATCTTTAATGGTTTGTGTGAAGTGAATAAAATTTGAACATAAATTTCATTGTTATTGACAGTTTCAAACCATATTCAGATCTTTTCCTTAGATGTTGCAAAAATAAGTTTAGCTGTATCAATAGTATAGATTCATGCACTGGTCATTCTTAGGGACAAGGTCAAGGGTTAGAATTATGAAGATAACATTAATTTTTCATTTATCAAGACTGTAGACTGGATAACAACACAGCACACCTTTTCTTTTGATGCAGTACCTCATTATGTAGACTACTGTGGTCTCCAACTTGGGATCCTACTAACTCAGTCTCCCAAATGAGGGGATCACAAACACATAACACTCACTGTGACTGACCATACACTCTTAACAATCAACAGACTTGAAACTGTTCTTTTTCCACTTGGATAATAATGTCTTCTTCAGCATATGAAAATAAGTGAACTTCTTAATTATAGGCATATACATAAATAAACATGCATTATTTTTCCTGAGAATAAAATGTGTGTGATGATTTTAAAATTACTTTTCATAGGAAGTTTAAAGGAAATTACTTTATTGAACTATGAATTTATATATAATATTGATACTCCTTAAGCAAACAGCTAAATTTTAAGGGGTTACCTTGACTGCATCCATGCTGGACAGTGAATATAATGAGAACAGAGGTAAGTGCCCTCATTTCTCTATGCGTTGGTATGAACATGTGGACATAGAGTTTGAGAAATTGGTCTCAGAGAATTCAAGTTCTGGATGTAGTAGTGGAGCTACAATTGTGATTTGGTTTGAGCAAGTGCTTCTGGGAAATGTAACTGGGTTTGTGCTACAAGTTGAATTTTAAATGTCCCCAAAGCCCTCTGTGTCAAAGGCTTGGTTCTCAGTTTGGTGATATTGGTAGGTGACAAGACCTTTATAAGGTGAGGTGTACTGGGAGGTATTTACATCCTTGGTGGCACACCCTTGAGAGCAATTGCTGGAACCCAGTCTCCTCTTCTTCACTTCTGCTGCCTGGCCATGAGGGGAGAGTTTTGCTTTGCCATGTGCTCCTACCAAGATGTGTAGACTTGTCACTGGCCAAAAGCAGCAGGTCGAATTGATTGTGGGCTATAACCTTCAAAACTGTGAGCCAAAATAAACCTTTTCTTTCTGTTAATTCATTATTTCAGATAACTTTAATAGTAATGGAAAGTCTACTAACATAGTATGTATATGAATTGAGAGTTGCACTATCAAAAGTGTCTATATTCTTGGATTCATAACACTTCCTTATGGTTATACTCTTCAGCCTTCATCTCCAGAAGCACTACAATAGGGAAAGAATAATCTGTTGTCAAAATAGTGGCCACATGGGTTTTGGGCAGCAGATTCATTCTGGGCTTAGAAGCAATACAGTGGATGCGCTCCAATGTCCCATGTAGGCATCAGGCAGTGGAGCCTAAAACAGCTTGGAGAGGCCACTCTGGGGAGATAATTGCGTCTCCAGGTTATGAATGATCCTGATTTGACTTGCTGATTCTTGACATATGCAAACCTCTGCAACAATTCCAAGAATTGTTTGAGGGAAAGAAACTCTAGAAAATCCTGTGCTTTTAGCCATCAAAATTTAGTTATAACCATCAATAGTGCTACCTTGCATTGGCTGGTAAATTAAGCTTCTCAAACTGCCAGTAAATAATTAAAAAACCCATCAGCAAGCAAATACTTGGTGAATACAAATCTGACTTATACAAATCACTAATCATTTAAATAAAGTTGTATACTAGGAGAATTTCAAACCAGATTGTATAAATATCTTTGAAAAATGTAGCTTGATGTATACCATTGATATTGACACCATTTTGACTACAAGGAACATTAGTAATTGGAGGGAACTAGAGAAACAAGGGGTATTGTAACACAGACATGGACTATAACACAAGGTAGGTGAGAGGGAACCTGTGAAGAGTAAAGTTATAGGTGAACATAGCTATCAAAAGCAACAATATGAGTGTTAGAGTGTGGTTTCCTATTAGTTGTTGACTAGTATCAGATACAACTTTGCAAAACCCACCTGGGTCTAGAAATACAAAAGGGACAGAGGAGTCACTTAAAAATTCTGCTTTATCAACATGGTAGAAGTCAGAAAATCTGATCATTTGAATTCCATAGCTCATGGCCATCCTCAGTCCTAGTGAACCAGTATCACACTCATAGCTCTGTCAGTTTCTTCCAGTGGGAAGTGAGAGTTTATATGATTGGTATCCTGAGACACCATTGTCTCTCCTGCTTCATTTATCTGTCCATTTCTCTTCTCAGAGACAGGCCATGGGTTTCAAGTTATGTAGGGTATGATGTGAGGGAGAGCATCAAATCGGTCCCACTTTAAATAAATATTATGAGGGATGTGATGGTAAAAGTTCAACATACCACTAAGAAAAGGTAGGCACTTACACCAATACTGGTTTCAGGCTTTATTCCAGCTAAAGGTGTTACAGAGTTTGTGCATAGTCACCTACATTTTGCACACCAGATTTTGTATGTATGTACATAGTCGCATTGATTGAAGGAGTCTGCATTAAAGATTTTAGCTATTATAGCAAACAACTCAAAATCTCATAAATATTTCTTTCTCATTCATCAACAATTTAGTTCAATTAAGAAAGTCAGGAAAGCACGTGCAGTTTCATGTGAGGATGTAATGCATCCATTTCGTTCCTTTAATTCTCCACAACCTTTTTGCATCCTCTATATAGTGCTCTACCTTCACCCACTTAATAATGATAAAGGCATAGAATGTGGTCTATTCTATACAATGTCATTACATTGCTTCTGCCAACATTGTATTAGTCATAAGTCATCACTTAGTCCAACTATATCCCAAAACTTTGAGAGATATAATTTTCCTGATTCCTAGAAAGAAAATGAAATATTTTTATGACTACTTAGAATGATTCTTTTTTTTTATGTGTTGTGCTGGGAATCAAACTCAGAACTTTGTGCTTGCCAGGCAGGCCTTTGTGCTGCTGAACTATGTCCCCAGCTCTACTCAGAATGAGTTTGGATCAAATTTATGACTCATAAATGTTTAGGAAACAATGCTTTAGTCATTCATTTGTGAAAGCGTATTTTTACAGGAAATCATGTTTTAGATTGCTGGGCCAGGACTCAAAGGTCATAGGGACATTAGTAAATGGAATCAGGGGAACAGTGCATTTCTTTACACACTTGGAAGTTCTCATCTCTACCGTCTCAAGAGAGAACTATGAGATTTTACATGCTATCGCAATGCTTTTCATAATTAAGTCTCTAGGGAAAAAAAAGAAAACCCTTCAAAAGGAATAAGAATATCTCCCAAAAGTCCCAAGTACCTGCTAATCTCTAGTTGAGATTTCCAAGAAACATGAAAGACATTCCTCATTGTTTCTACAGTTCTGGAGGGAGGGCAGGTGTCCAGAATGCTCTTAGACTTAAACGTGTGAACTGAACCATGTGCAGGAAAGCACTGCCTACAGGAAGTGTGGTACTGTAACTTGGTTACTTGGCACTTGGCATCTGTCTCTGTTTCATGACGATTTGTGGAAGTGTTGGCTGGGCCAGCTAAAATCTGATCTGCTACTATAAAGGATGTGAAGATCTGCAGTTGGATTTGTGATTTGGTTTTCCACTGGCTCATAGGGATATTTCTTTTGAAAGTTGATTGATAGTCCACCTATTTTCTTCACAATAATCAATAAATACGAATTATCTTGTAAAAATCAAGGTAGAGAGTCCAGTTTAGGGAACTGAACCGGTTTTTATCAAAGTTCAAATCATAATTGGAAAAAGGATAAAATAGCTATAATTTTATACTAAAAGAATACCTTTTATAATTTTATGTATAAAGTAAATACTTTCTAATATAATTATTTCTTAATTACATATGTTTGCTGTAAAATTGTGAGCAGGAACCACAAATGTGTACTATTTTTCATAAACTATATTCACATAAAGTTGAAATATCATAGCATTAAACACAAAAACACAAATAGAAAAATGAAATGGAAGAGATTATATTAGTATTGTACATAATTTGGATTTTGAATAGTTGCTACATTCCATTGAATCTTCTTGATACATTATGGGTTGTTTTCACTAAAATGATTTTAAAAACGTAATTAAGACATAGTATATAGTTTTTTTTTTTTTTGAGTCCGAGTTTAAGTATTGAGCTAGTTGTCACTGTAAAACTGCTTTGTGAGAGTTCCATTGACACTTTTTAGGCTGTTGGATGCTAGCTATACAGTCATGCTGCTGAAAATTCAAATGGACTCCTTTTAGGTCCAGAAAGAAAATTTCCATGTTTCCCAGAAGGCATTGTCTTTGATTCAGTTGCTTTCAGTCTATCACACCTCAGTCGCTCTGATGCAGGGATTAAGAGTAAGACCAACAATTTCCACTCCACTAAGCATAATTCAGGGAATCATGAAAACAGTGAATCTGAAACAAAAAGATATGGAAGACTGGAGAGGTTCCAGAAAAAATTAAATCAAAAGTAAACTGAAAAATATAAAGCGGTAAGGGCTAATACTTCCTGAATACTTGCAATGTGCCATGAACTGTGTTTGCTAAAAACTTTATAGACGTCATTAATTTTTATCTTCATAAAACCTTAAAAATAGGCACTAATTACTCCCTCTGATATACAATAAACAAAATAGTTTCTGAGACTAATGATTAATGGAAAAGAGTTTCATTCCTGGAAAACAAAAGATATTTAAGTGAC